CTGAGAGGTTTCTATTCAATTTTCTTCGTAACAGGATTGGGAGTCTACAGACTGAGTGGCAACATCAGCAGGTATAATGTTAACAATGGCCATGTAGAAATATCAATGTCATACAGGGAAAAGTGAGGGGATCGGGAAGAGGGAAGTCAGTAGTTATTATTATATATGTGGTGGACCATCCAAACTGAGGTTGTTTCCCGTCACTTTAAAGGCACAAACAACATCTGTAAATGCATAGATCCAGTATTCATTTTAGCGAGTTTTGGTCCATTTACAAAGCCAAGCCAATTTAACCTTGTGGTACCATTAGGATGAAAGACAATCCCTCCAAGCGAGCTCCATCTGCCTGTTGGACAGCGGACTCGAATCTGGCGCGACAACATTTGAGGCTGCAAAACAGCAGATCAGCACAATCCTCAAAAGTCCCCTAATCCAGCAGTACACGCTCTAAAAGCTGCTTAGCGTTTGATTTGAACGTAGGGACACACCACTTCCGGTTCTAGGGACCAGGACAGACTGGTCAATTGGCTTTTGCAGCATAAATACAGTATTTATAGCCTCTGACCCAACGTGTATCTCAGGGACTTACTTATGGTAAAACCTGATGAAGCCTTCTTTCAAATGGTACGGAGAACAAATCAACCCATTTAGAGCTCAAGAAGAAGAAAAAAAAACATTAACTAAAGTGTAATAAAACTGTACCCTTATTAAACATGATGGATGCCGCTGCAGAGGAGAATGGATCCAATTATGTCCAAAGGCATTACGGTTCTGATTTACTACAACTCAATATGTGTGGCTACTACAAGCCTGACATCAACCAGTATGAAGCACAGACACCTGGAGGACAAGCCGTCGCTGCCTAAAAACATCTGATGGCGTTTGCTGAAAGTCTTGTGTGTCATTCGGGCAAAAACTATAAACCCAAAGCGGAGTCGATCTACTGTTGAGTTGGTGATCTGCTGAGTGGAATTAATTATTATTGAAGGAAAGCAAAGCTCTTTGAGTTCAGAGTTGCTTGATTTTTGCTGACTATTAATGCGATGATGTCACCATCACATCCCTGCCGGGGGGGGGGCCTTTCGGTCTAAGTGCTTGGAGAAATTTCAATCTCTGCTTTAGAGCGGATCAACAGCTTTTCCTGTCAAATGTATGTTTCCTGTCCACGGGGCTGTTGCATTTCAAAGTAAGGACGGGCTAATTCAGAGCGGCTTGAACACTGACACAACCAAAGGCCCCTTTTACATGTCATCATTAAAAGGCATCCAAAGAAGCCGGTCCTTGGAGTTAGGGTCAGGCAGACCGTCAGAAATAGCTTTATGCAAATGTTCTAATTAACTTAATTAGCAACCCTGTCCATTCCCAGCTGGGAAATTTGTTCTCATATGTTGCCGGTCATAAGAATTAATGGTGGGAAAAGAATGCACACATACATACAAGTGTCTTCATGCACACCAACGTCCTCCAACAAATGTGTTGTTGCATTAAGTGACAGAAGTACGCAACAATGCTCCTTTAATGTAAAAGTAGCACAGAGCGGTATGTTGATTGATTGAGTATCTTTGACTTTAAAGTTTTGAGTTGGACTTTTGAGTTTAAACACTCGGCAATAAAGACGGAGATGACAGTGACATAAAACCAATTCTGACGAGAAACTGCAGAAGCTTTCGGCTCCTGTCGCGTCGGCTTTGTTTGGCCTGTAAGGTGGTAGTTATGAGTCAGTGGCTGCAGGAGAGTAACAGCAGGGTGCTATTTTGTACTCCCAAATCACCTTTAACTCCACAGGCGCTCAAACATTCCACCATGTGCAGTATCTCTCAGTATCACATTTGTTTACTGGAAAATGTAATTCGCCGTCAGTGTTTTGAACAAATAACTGAATTTTGCCTCGTAGGATCAACGTTCCGGTAACGTTTTTTTTTTTTTGTGGTGGATTGAATGGATTCTTTTTCTGAGCGCTGTGGGCCTTTTTAACAGCAAATATTTCGACGTGTCACAGCGAGAGAAGCACACGTGTAATTATTTTCATCAATCATGTCTGCATCAGGTCCAGGTGTGCCCGGTCTGAGGCTTTCTTTACCTGAACTAGGGGCCGCTTCTGCATTGCATCATTTTGCAATCCCCTTTCTATTCTAGAGCTGAAGTGTGATTACTTTCCTCAGCGCTCACAGCTTGAATATCCTTTACTCACTTTACTTTCTTTTAGAAAGGCGTTTTTTTTATAAAAGTAACCAATTAGATTTGCACAATGTCGTCAAACATTTGAAACATTTCTGCTGGCTGCATGAACCTGGCCAGTTTTTTTGTTCCTCTCATTATCACAAGGGAAAAGCACAGGTCCACTCTACACATTTAACCATGTGGTATTAAAACAGAATTACAAATACAATGGAGAACTACCCGTTTGGCAATATATGGTTATCTAGATTGCCTTAAATAGAGCTCTAGTCGACATGGGCTCGAGGTGTAGTGAGAGGCTGCAAAATAATAAACATGTCACCGAATGTGATTTCAGGCCATTTTCGAAAGCCGTCCTCGCGATCACTGATGGCTGAGCGATGTGGTGCTTCGAAGCCATCCGGCCGCTGCAGTGTAGCTGCTGAATGTCCCCAAGCGTCATTTGCTGCATTTAACTGCTAAACTGGGAGATTTTATACGGAAGCATTTGAACCAGCGGGGTAACCATCATAACCTGCATTTTTTGTGGTGGGGGTGACTCTTCCCATTCTGTCAAAATTATGTGAGTGCTTTTCTTGACATAAAAAGGACTTGTTTTTTATAGGCAAACTCCTGGAGGGATTTCGTTGCTCAAATGATATGTCAAAGATGTGACACCACGAGAGGAACCGAAGACAAACAGAAAGCTACAAGACCATAAAAGGTTAAAGGCATTTAAACTCCGAGTAGAAAAAAAAACACGAGCGTCTGAGTCAGCCAATTTGCACCATCTGGAGCACTTGGTGGTTGATTTTTTATGTGCGCTGACTTGAACCCACCCACGGCAATCAAAAGCTTTCGGGACTTTGATTGTTCCGTTGCATTTTAAAAGTGCTCGTTCAGTCTCCAAGAGACAGATGGAGACGCAGCAAAAAGGTAGAAAGCCAAGATTAAGGGGTCTCACCCCATCGCCTTAGAGGGCTTCACATGTTCTGAGCAGGTTTGTGTAGATCAGGCGGGTGGAGGGGGGAGGTGGGGGAGAGTGGGAGGAGGACAGTGTGGTGTGCAGGAGAGAGGGAGTGCTGCAAGTGCTGACCAACGGCAGACTCATCCATCCAGAACGTGCTCCGCTGCTCTGCTTCGGTCACTGGCTTCAGCTCAGGCCCGGCCGCACAAATCCGTAACCTGGGATCACCTCCGCGCTGCACATCACCTGACATAACGTAGACTAAGCGGCAAAATCATTGCACGTCCCCTCCGAGGCCTCCTCCTCGCATTCACACCTGCCTCCTTAAAACGACCCAACAGGAGTTGGCAGATTATCTTTACTTTGCACCGCATTACCAAATAAATGGGCTCAGCTGGGTTTGCTGCCAGCCGTGGATTCAATTATTTAAAAGCTGTTCCAGCTCCTGTTGTGTGTGCGCAGCCTGACTTCATCTTTTATTGAGGCAGTTGGTTGAATGACTTGTTACAAACAGCTACCGCGGAAGTACGGCGACGTCTGCCACCGACCCGTGAGGTGGAACGACGGACCCTCCGGACTGCAGGGATGGACTCGAATAGCTTTTCTTCTTAACCTAAAGGCATTCGGACAATTGGGTACCGATTGGGTACCTGAGTTTGATGTCTGAGGAGGCGCACTGCTGCTGTTGAGCAAAATGTGTGCGTACATTGGTTTTTCCTACAGAATTGTGCATGCGAGCACTAAGCAGATATGTACTCAGATAAATACGTGTGCGAACAGACTTCCAATGTATGCATTTTTTTCAAGAAGCACAATAACGAGCCCCACAATGAAAAGCTCAATTTAGCAGATTATTTAATTAAAAAAAATATATAAATTCACTGCAAGAATCGTTTTGCTGTCAGTTGCATTGTTTCTCTAACATTAATAATTTAGATCAGAATGCGAACTGAATTTTAATTAACTTGCATTGCCTGACAGTTTCCCACAATCTGAATATATATTGCAATTATTTACAACACTGACGACTAGTTGTCACTTGGGCCTAATGAAAGTGTCACTCAACTGATCATCATCTGAACATCTCAACGTCTGCCGGGAACAAACATAATCAGCTCTTTACAAAACATAATAATCTCTCTGGGTTCTCATGTCACTCTGCTATTCTGAAAAGAAATACACCCTCTACTGACATTTTCTCACATGCATATTTCCTTAATTTGTACGCATCCAATATCCCCACCACTCCAAAAATGTTAAACTAGTAATATTAACTGGGCATTTATTTCTGTAGAATAAATTCAATGCATTAAAGACAGTTGTTAATTCTCCCTCCACTGTCTAAAGGAGCTGTAACATCTAGGACATCTGCATCCAGTGGAGCCAAATGAAAACCTAACGGAGGTTTTCCATTCCGAGCTGAAACCTCCCTGTGGTCTGAAACCTCTGATTCTATTCACACTGAGAGACAAACCTCTCCTGTCATCTACAAACAGGTTTCCTGTAACCCTCTTATATTTGATGCTTTACACCACCGACAGAGTGACTGTTCTCCTCTTTCTCAACATTTCCCTTCCAAACCGACTTTCGGTACATATTTCTGTGTCAGTGAGAATTAACTACCGTCATCTATCGGTTTGGGCACATGGATGCGCCCTGGAGTTCCCTTTGCTCTGTAACGAGTTGTATCCGCTCCGCAACAGTAAATGTCGGATCAGAAATCTCATCAGTTAACACAAATCCGTCAACAGCCGCTCGCCTGCTCGTTAAATCTCTCATCTTCCCTCTGCGCCGTATTGCGCGCGCGTCGCGCGTAATCGGGTTAATCCCGATTACCGTTTCTTTGTTTTTAGAAAGAAAAATAAAATAGTCCTACCTCGCTCATGATGGACGGTGAAGTGGAGGTTTTCTCAGCTGCTTCCAGTACGCGAGTGTCGGAGAAGTTTCGGCCACAGCGGTCTTTAAAAGAGTGGCTCGCCGCGGACGGAGACGCTTTTATAAAGTGTTAAGCGCAACTCCTCCGCGTCGTCGCGTCACCGATAAACCAATAGGAGTGCCGTGGGCAAACGTGTCTCCCCAAGTTCCCACCCAACTCTTTCAAATATGCAAACGCTGGGTAAGCCTTTTTCCTCCGAATCAGCCGAACGGAGCGTCTCCTGTCCTCTGCTGATGGGAGCGTTGGGAGGCACTTCATGCACCAGTCATCATGTCATCAGTAGACAGTAGGATTTCACCAAATGCACCGTTGTGACTCCCACCTGAGTGTGTGCGTACTGGTGCGTGGGTGTGAGCTTCATAGGAAAAGCTCTAAAGTAAAATCATGTTCTGCCTTTATGTCTTTCATTTCAAAAACAGGGATTTTCAGTTTTCCTGTGGGGCTTTACTCTGACATGGTGTGATTATTTTGATGCACTATAATCGTTACAGAATGCTTCTTCATTACATTTTATTGCCTTTTTTATACTTTATGGAATGGGATGTTTGCTGGTCACTCCCCTCACATTTATGTTAAATTATATCCAGTAAAGGTTTACAGTGGTTCTCTGGTAAATTCCCTAACAGCATGTTACATTTATTGCAGCAGAGAGACCGAGCATTGCATTTATTAAATGTATTACTTGAAAGATAAAGTGCCGGGGATTTTTCAGAGGGAACAGTGCCCATTTCCAGCAGCTTTTTATAATCCTTTTGCTCCATCCATTCCCTCCTTTCCATCTCCTTCAATATCAATTCCACAAATTGGGTTGGCTAATCATCGTTTGTCCTAAATCCATACATCCGTTTTGTAAAAATTCAATACAGGACATGTTTTTCGAATCAAGTATTCAAATAGCAAACGGCAACTCCACTCGAGCCGGAGAAACCTCCATTTGGTTCCCGCACATCTGAACGGAAATGATTTCCGACAAAGACAATCGGCACCAATGTTTCGCAAAGCTATGATGAGACACGAAGGCTGCTCAGCTTCCTCGCGGAGCGTCAGCGGAGTCCCGACGGAGCCTTGATGGATCGGAGAATTGGAACGCCATTACAAATGATGCCTTGCATCTCTGCTGCTCTGACCTGACCCGTGTGTCTCTGGGAGTCTGTCAATGCCCAATGCTGCCCGACAAGCTGGAAAGGATTTGCACTGAAAAATAGCTTGAGGGGCGCTTGTTCTGCAAACACAGTCCTCGCATCGCTCTGCTCGAGACGCTCTGAGGGAAGGCCGCCGTTGTTGTTTTGCAGACCCCGCCGAGGTAGCTGCAGCTCAATATGTGAAGGCCGGTCTAGCCGAGCTCATGTGGTCCTGCGTGGCTTTGGTGTGGGGCACTTGCTGGGGAGTCATTCGCGGAACTATTTCCCTCACACTCGCACAGATTTCGAGGATGGAGATGTTTACTTTTCTTATCTTTGCAGAAGTATTGTTGAGCGAGTTCAGACGTGCACTAGGGAGTAGATTAGGAGAGATGAGTCCTTCCCCAGGAGAAATCTGAGTCACACCAACCGTCATTAATCTGTAGCTTCAGAACACTTGGTGAGGTAACCAAACGCTTTAGAAGATACGTTGGTCGGAGACGACAGAGAACACAACTGTTTCTTTCGTCTACGAGGTAGATCGCGCTGATACATTTGATGCAGCCACATTGTCAGCCAGCTCGCATCCGAGAAACATCAGACGGACATCTCGGGGAACAGCTGGAGGCCCCACGGGAGACGGCGAATACCACCTGAAGGCGTGCCGCGATGTTTAAGTCAGAGGAACAAACGGTTGCTCATCGTGATGGACGCGGCACGTAAAGGGAAACCTGTGCTGGCATCGTTCATGCATCAGAGCATTTATTCTTGAATAGCTAGCGGAATAAAACCGAGGAGATGATGGTAATGTCAACCAGCAGGGCTCCGGATCCAAGATTTATCAAAGTCTGACTCACGTCAGGTTCGTCCATCATTCGTGTGGGTTTGGGGGATTGTTACAGAGCCGTCTCTCAGTCTATTTATTGATGAATGTTGCTTCTGTTTATTGTACGGTAAAATCTGCAGAGGATTTTTTCCTGCAGCAAACTCATTATCTGTATGTGCTTTTGCACTTAAGGGTCCAAAGAAAGATTCAACAGAGTCCGCTGCATGTACAGACAGCAGTTCTTACCCCAGGGATGTTACAGCCAAACTAAATTGCACACCTGTAAATGCATAGCGACTGAGCGCTGAATTCGTCATCATCTTGATTATTTCACATTGTTCTCTGCTCTTTTGATCTTATATCACATTTCAGGGCGTAGGTCCACTTTGATATATTTATTCCATCATGGCTCTGACTCGTGAATTATTCCGAGGAAACATCATTTTTCTTTATTGCATAAATTGAGTTGAAGATAGTCCGTCCTCGGAGAGATGCACAGCATCGTCCGTGTGTGTTTGTGTTGACGTGCCGTACACATATATGTAAATGTAGGTCAACTCGGCCTTTTGGAGATATATGCATTGAGTTTTTCCAATTTTTGTTTGAATGCCGTCAGGCCTTTTAAATGTCACTACAGAAATATCCATAGTTTTGTGATGTAATGCTGTCTAATATTGCTTGTGCTCTTTTGTGCTCATCTAACTTCCTGAGCCGAAACAGCTTTTTAGTTCTATCTATTTTAAATGATTTATGTTAAATCAGCATTGACCCTTGGATATGTAGTCTAGTCTATCTAGTTTTCAAAGGGGTCCCAAGCTTCCAACTGTACTGAATAAAATCTACCAAATGTAAAAGTTTCAACAAACTCGAAGCTACAAAACCGCAGTTCACAAACCGATGGATGACGTCATTGTGACTAATCCGCCTCTTACACACATTGTGTCTGTGTGTGTGTGTGTGTGTTCAGCATTGTTATTCTTCTCCCCAAGTATTGTTATCAAAGGAGAACCAGAGAGCATTTCAACCACACACAGTTTTCCTTTCATCTCTGTCTCCGTCAGAAGAAGCCGGCAGGTTGCTTTTCAGAGCGACCCCGTGCACTTCTTACCGTAGGGCGATGTGGATACCAATAGAAGCCTTTACTTAAAACTATGTAAGGAAAGAACAATATAGATCTCCGGAATTTAGATCATCTTTTTTTGTGACCCATAACAGTACACGCATTGTTTCAAATTGTCCAGACAAAAAGATAATTGGTACTGGAGCTGAGCATTTTAGAATAAAAAGTGTCTCATAGCAATTTAACCATTACAACTTGTCAGTATACTGTATCTTACAATCAATCTACATCGTTCTACACATAATATTTGACAAATATACTTATCATTTAAATTGTAATGCATTAATATATTGAATTAAAGTATGACATGATCTCAAGCATGTGACCGTAACTCATGTAGAAGACGATGACTTTTGGTGGCCTGCTAACAAGTCATGTGTTTTCACAGGAGTAGTGCAAATCTTTCTAAACGACTGGTCCTTGAAACGATTCAGAAGCTGTTTTTGGAGTCATTCCCACATCCAGTCGGAGTCATCGCCCCCTTGAATGGCTGAGTACAATGGAGGCACAAACATTTGTCTCGGTGACACTGGTGCAGTCTCAGTGACGGCTCAAGCAATTTCCCAGCACACGCGGCTTGAACAACAGGAGCTAAGTGTACGGCATAATTCACACTCTCTGAGCTCTGCGAGGGACAGAGATGTGATGCACAGCCGAGTAGTCGGTACTAAACAGTCCACACATGCACTTCCGGCCCGCGGGATGATACAGCACTATGTGTTCTCCTCACGCAGCGTTCCATACAGTTTGATTGCATCTACAGAGCGGAGTGATTTATCTTTATCGTCGTGTTATTTCCGGATTCCACAGACGGAAGATGAGCAGCGGTGGCAGACTGCTGCCTGCAGTTAACCTGATGTATCACCCGAAGAAGAACATGCCCGTGGCTTTCAATTACACACAGATAAGAGTGTTGGCTTTGACTGGCAACAACAAATAATATCCTATCACCTTTGCTCCGTATGTGCCGGACGTTGTCTCCAATACATCTTTGTTTTCCAGATCTGTCGCCTCTGGGATTGGAAATAGCCAGATATGATCTTGGGAGAAGGAGATGCTTCTCCGCCCGGCGTAAAACGAGGGTTTAATTTGTGCGGTTTATTAAATGACGAATGAATAAAAGTAAGCATGCAACAAAAGATGTTGAGAAGCGACAGACTTTCAGCTCAGTGCAATTTAATGAAATTATATAATACACAAATATTACGAACAAGGAAAGCAGAAATAAGAGAGCATATGGTCCAAACAAGATGGCACTGAATGCAGAGAGATTAAAAGGAAACCAGCTTCCGCCAGGGAAGTCTCTGCGCTCAGGAGGAGGAAAACAAGCAGATCGGAGCTGGCAGGAAGAGCGAGAGGATCAAAGGTATCAAGTGCAGGTGGACTAGGACAGCCGGTGAAGGTGAGAATACAGTGAGCTGTGGATCATTCAGAAAAGCAGCACAGAGGGAAGTTAATATGAGCACTAGAGAGGCTATGAAACAAATGGGAGTATTATGCAAAGCTGCACTGATCTTTTGTCAAACTGAGAAAAGTGAAAGTGATGAAGAGAAGCGTGAACTGAAGAGGAGGAGGGAGATGAAAAGGTGAGCCATGATCCTTTGGACCCAAAATAAAAACGAGTTTCTTCAGAACTTATACAAGAATATACAAGAACAGGAACCTCTGCTGTGGAAAAGCAAAAAGCAACAGTGATGGGCTGTCGGTATTATTCTTGTATATTTCAGACTGAAGAACGGAACATCATCCTCCCCACAAACAATTCTGTGCCAACGTTCCACGCTGTGTGTTAAGGTCCGCTATGTGTGGCGGTAAAGGTCTGGAGATTGGCCTGGTTGTTCAGTGCAGACCATTGTATTATTCACAGTGACCTCATATTTCCCTAATCTAGACTGTGTGCCATTTGCCTAATCCCAACAGCAACATCTAACACATCCAATAATGTAATATACAGGGACCACATTTCTGGTTCTTTGGCCACTTACAGCCTCAGCATGGTGCTGCTCAGTTACTCCTCAGGGTTCAGTCTGTTAGTTTGTCCGGAAGCCGGGGGCCTCAACACAGCTAGAAGGTCCAGAAGAAAGCCTCATTCCACTGGGAAGCGGTTTGCAAGCCTGGAGCCATTCGAGGCCCTT